GAGACTTGTTTACGTGGACCCCTGTCCACTAAATGCGGAGTGAGTTTGCTCGAATCTATGTATTCTGGTGGATAGAAATTCCGTATATTACATCAGGACCTGTTGAGTCAGACACAGCCTTGTAAAACCACTTCCACAAACAGATTTCCTTTACCTGAAAGGAAACATTTTTTCTGTTTCTCTTCCATATTTAAAACAAGACCTTTGTACTGAAGGGCATCCTTGGAGTACTGTTGGTAAGAAGCTCATAAGATTTCCTTCAGAATTCCTCCAGTTTTCTTCTGGACTATATGGGACTTCTCCCTAGCAGGGTAGGCTGGAAACAGTTAACAGGCACCCGATAATCCAACTTCTTGTTAGGAATTTTATACAGCAATTTTACCATACAATAGCCAAGATGCCGTTACGAAAAAATATCCTGCAGCCGCTTGATATCAGGAATGCGTCCTTCGTATAGCAAGTTCAGGGTTCCGTTTCTGTGTCTTTTTCTCCTTTCTGTGCTGTGAAAAGGGCTGGTTGGTCCTCCCTTGTGGGCAGGTGGTCCAGTTTCCATCTGCCTCTCAATTTGGTGACGGCTAGACCTGATATCAGGCTGTTTTCCTCTAACCATGCAAGAGAACAAACTCTTAACATGTAGCAGATCAGTAAAGCAAGTTAGCTGTAAAAAAACTATTGTACATGCTGCTGGAAAAGCCACATTTGAATGAAGTGTGGATGTGATCTAGTTCAAGAAAACAGTGAGTTAGCCTAGAAGGATTTGGGTATTTTATTCTTATAACCTTACCGTGGTGCCTGGAATAAATATGCAAACCTGTGCAACAGCAGCAGCAGCAGCAAAGAATTTGATGCTTCCGGATGGGATAATGAGCTGCTGTTTGCTTACAGGGCTCAACGTACCAGGCGGGATCAGATAAATGTGTAGAGTTAACGTAATAATATTATAGTATAACGAAAATAGCCTTGATTAAATAGGAAGGGTATGCTTCTGAGAGGTTCTCTGTGGAGACTGTTCTGTGTGTATTTGTTCTTTTGTAATGTTGGATCTTCATTTAATTGCTCCTGAGGAATACAGCCCCATAAATCCCAACTTTAATACATTTTAAAATTATGCAAGAGTAACAGTTATTACCACTTAAAGGAATCTCTCTCGTGTGTCCTGAGTTTCTCTTCTGAGCATTGGCTTCTGAGTAGAAGGTTTTTTGCAGAAATGTTCCCATGGTTTGCATTTCCTCTTCCAGATAGCAGAAACAGGATTGATCCAGAGGCTTGTTGGGGGAAGATGCAACGAAGAATGAATAGCATAGAAATGCAGCTAACGATCGCCTCGTGATATCACACAGTAACCATGTGGGAATTTCTTACACATTGTGGAGTTCTGTCTATAAACAGTTTTTAACCTGGGTTTTATGGATTGAACCATAATGAATAGGGTCGCATGTAACACTAAGCCACAAACAGATGCATTATGGCTCAGTACAATCTGTGAATCTGGTCTTTGCAAATTAAGGACCATGGTCATGGTTGAAACGGATTTGTTTCTCATCATTCTTATGCTTCAGTTGAAAGTATTTCTGAACGAGTTTAATACAATAACAGTTTTGCTGCACCAAACCAGCAGTCCAGTGTCATCTTAGAGATCAACACTTTACAGTGGTCATTGCAGGAGGAAAGCCACGTTAGTCCAAATCAAAAGGTGTCTGATAGCAACTTTCCTGACTAACACATTTTATTTAAAGGCAGAAGTTTTCATGACCTGCAACATACATCATCAGAGGCATCTCACGCCAGCTGATGCCTTCTAACAACCTTCACAGTGATGTGAGCTGTTGTAAACCAAGCAACTGAGTTGTCTGAAGTGTTGACCCTGTTGAAAGTGTGGCTCCTTAGACCTTCCAAAGTATTACGTGCCTAACAAAAAGATATTAAATCTATATAAAGTATGCTTACCTTACCCGTAAGGTGTTGATTTAAGGTCCCACATATCTTTCTGCCCAGTTCAAACTAGTCTGTAGATCTAGTCTGACCTGTCCATAACTTGAATGCTAGAGCGAAGAGTTATGGTTCTGAGTCTTTTGCTAGTCGCTTTTTAGATGACAAAGAACCATCATCTAGAGATCTTTTATTATAAACCAGGAAAAGCTGAAGGGTTGGATTTCTGCATCTTGATGTGGCTTGTATGACTTTGTCTGAACTCTGTGTTCTCAGAATTTTTCAGAGTGTGTTTACTTAGGAAGATGTGATGAAACAGACTATGGAGTACTGTGGGGTGTGAACCAACTCTGTACCTTCCCTACAAGCACCTCTTCACACACTGAGACTGGGGTGGACCTTGGAAGAATGTGGGGAAACCTTGCCAGGTCAAGTTTATGCTGTTTGGGAAAAGAAACACAATTCAATCCTCCTCAGGTGTACAGTCCTGATCTGGTGGTTTTTGCTGGCTTTTGTTCCTTGTCTACAGATTTTGATTGATCTTGAAGCATCTGCTTCTACTTCTCAGCTGTCATTTCCTTCCTGCAAAGACATGGCTACCTAATCTTTACTTTCAGCCAGGGTACTAGCCCCAAGAGTTATACGAGTTTCCTCATCACACATCACAAATCTAGGGCTTATCAGTAGAGGCGGTTCAGACTTTATACGCAAAGAGCATGCATGTCTCTATGAACCATCTTTAAGATACATCTCAGAACAGTTTTCCAATGGCTGCTCAAAATCTTTATCACTCTTTTCCTTAAATACAGTAGTTGACGAAGATGTCCCTGCAGCATGAAGTGGGCTTTCCCCCCTATGTTTTTAATGTCGTCTTTGCATGTATGCTCTTTGGTTAAGTGTAACATTATTTTTGCTTGTTTGTTTTTGGTCTTTGACAAACAAGAATGTTTAGTTAGAATCCTCTGCAGGATGCTAATATGCAGTGCAAGGCATGCAATACGGACATTTTTCCTTGAGGGTAAAGAACTTGAAAGCTACCGAGAAGCAGGATGAATTAACAAAATATTAGTAAAAAGAGTGCAGTAAAGCAGAAATAAAAGAATGAGAGAATAAGTAATTAAAGGGGTGGAGAAGAGAACAAGGGCAGAGGTCGAATAAAATGTGAAATGAAGCAGAGGGAGATGTGCAATAATGATGGCTTTCTGGGTAGAACAAATGAACTGAAACATTTTGGGAAGTTCTAAAACCTTCCCAAAATGTTCTGCTTCCTTATTGGTTTGATTTATGTTTGGTGGTATCATATTGACATATGTTGGGTAAGCTAAAATGTTCTTCAGGTATGGAGTTATTGGTGCTCTCCAAGCTTGATTATTTGCTTCCAGACGTTTCATGACCCAATGTGGGAACAGTCTCGCTGCAAGTGAGTGTGGGGTTGGCTGCCTGTTTATATAAAGTAGCTTGCCCTGCCAGTGTTGGTGGGGGTGTAGCTACCTCCTTGGTGGTTCCTTGATTAGAGTATTATTTTCTGCCTGATTGTTTGTCTGGTGTTCATCCCTGCTTGTCTGGGGGTTGGCTGCTGGAGGAGGTGTGTTCTAGCCTTTTTGTTACCCTCCTAGGTTTTTTTATTGTCTCCTTTGAATGGTCTATTGATGATGATTTGTCTGAATGCCAAGCTTCCAGGAATTCCCTAACATTTTTGGACTTGGCTTGGTCTCAGATGCTCAGTTTCCCAGCTGAAACTGGTTGGGTCTGTCCATGTGTTGGGAGATGAAGGAGTTTTCATCGTGTCTTCTGACTGCCGGTTGGTGTTCATGGATGCGCTCTGCCAGCCTTCTGCCTGTCTGTCCTACATAGTGGCTGTTATAGTCCTTACACTGTATGTTGTAGATGACTCCTGTTTTTTCTTCTTGGGTCACTGTGTATAGGATTGCATTCTTTCTATCAAATATTTAAATGCAAACATGGACACGATGTTAAATATGGAAGGATTAACCAGGTTCCTTACAATGAAAGTACTTGTATTTGTGGAGCTCAAGAGACAGAGGACGTACAGTAGATCATGCATTATTTGAATGTCAGCTGTATGAGAGAGATCAATATCTTGGAACACAGGTTAGACAACAGCCTGTTGGGATCCTTATATTAAAATATTTCATGTGCAGTCAAAACCCAAACATTACATATAATGTGGCCCTTTATCCGAACAATACAGTACAATTAAGAACTGCATATGTGGATCTGATTGGGGTAAATTGTAGGAGTGACACAGAAATATGATTTGCATTTCCTTTTATTTCTGCCTTTTACTCTATTTTGTAACACATGGTCTTGCTTGCTTTTGGCCTAGTGTGATGCACAGAAGGGATCAGTGAATGAACCAAAGTGTAAAACCATAATTGGTTGATGGTTGAGATTAGATTCACGCACCATCACATTTCTTTTATCCATGAAATTTTGAACAAGTCCTGGTTCACCCATGACATTATGCCATAAACCAAGGCTTGTAAGCTAAAATCCTTGTACTTACGCTAGGCCAAAGGTAAATAAGCCACTTGCGGAGAATAGCCCATATTTTAATGTGTTGTGTGAATGTGGATTTAACTATTCTGATATATTTTCCTCACCTGAACGGTAATAAGCAGAAGTTTAAATTCTTCAGTCTCCGTGAAATTACTCTTTGAACTTTTGACAGATGTTCCCCTCTAAATTTGTCTCGTCCTGTTTTAAGACCATTTTAAAAGATTGTTATATCTTCTACCAGAAAACTCTGTATACACCTTGTGTGAGAGATACTGTGTTATAATTGGTGCCAGAAAACTCCGTTAGGTGAATTACACCTTGAAATATTTGGGTTGTCTTTGGTCTCAGTCAACTTAATTATATTTTTTTGAGTCTTATTTGCAGACTTGTGGCAGTGCTAAAGTGAAACATTTAAGTTATGGCGTTCGCATCTTATGCATTTTTCAGAAGGACGTTAGTCCGGAAACATTAATATTAGAAGTTAAACTTTACTGGTGACATGATAAAGGAGTTCTTAAATGACTGGAAGCTTTGCACTGTGTTTGACTATAATGTGTTTCTCTTACTCCAAAGCTTCTCCGCTGTTGCTTTACGCAAATCGGCGTGATCTCCGGCTGGTGGATGCCGCAGACGTGACTGAGAATGCCACAGTTGTGGTGGGTGGCCTGGAAGACGCTGCTGCGCTGGACTTTGTCTTCGTCCGTGGTTTGATATACTGGAGCGACGTCAGCGAAGAAGCCATTAAACGCACAGAATTCAACCAATCCGGGAGTGTGCAAAACGTTGTCGTTTCTGGACTCTTGTCACCTGATGGGCTAGCTTGTGATTGGCTGGGTGAAAAACTGTACTGGACGGATTCTGAAACGAACCGGATCGAAGTCTCCAATTTAGATGGATCTTTGCGAAAAGTTTTATTCTGGCAAGAGCTGGATCAACCCAGAGCAATTGCATTAGATCCTGCAAGAGGGTAGGTCTGTTTCTCTATGTGGGCAGGGCAACTTTTTCCAGTAGAGACTTCTGAGCAAAGAGGTTTCTTTTCTCGCCAAGAAACCTACTTTAGAATGGCTGGATCCGCGTGGTCTGGAAGAAGAGCAGAAGGCTCTGGTATTCCATAAAATGGTCCTTCCCGAAAACTAGGTTTTCACATCCCTGGACTGGAATCAAGGATAACTATGAGAAAATGATGTTAGTTAGTTAGTTAGTTAGTAGGCTTACGTGGCTGCCCATCTCACGTACGTGACTGTGGGCGGCTCACAATATTAAAAATAATAAAAACGTATACAAAAATATAAAGCCCATAGCAGCCAAGTGGTATATAGTTACTACCACTTGTAAGCTACGCACAGCCTTTCCATTCTTGTGGATACCTCTGCTTCATCCTGCTGCTGCTTGCTCCTCGTCCTTCCCTCTGCGTCGGCTCGGCCCACCACAACATCTTTCAACAACATTGGCTTTCAAATGATACTTCCGAGAACTCTGTGGTTCTGTGGAAGCAAAACTGCGCTTTCATTAATAAGGTCACAATAAACCAACTTAGGCACTCTCTGGGAAAGCGGGCTTTAAATTGAATAGATTATTATCAGCTATAGTAGACGGCTTACTTACAGAGTGCTGTTCTGCAAACTGCAGGAAGCACCAAGGAGGCGTATTGGGTGTAATTTTTGGCATGGGGGACGGGACCTCTGGCTCTTCAGATGTTGTGGGAGCACCAGGCTCAGTGGAGTTACCAGTAATGGTGTTCCATCAACATCAGGAGGGCTGCCAGTTTCCCACATGTGATCTAGGGTAAGACCCTCAACCAAGGGGAGCACTTCATGAGATTTATTTTGGCTCCAGGGGCAGCGGTGAGTTTGGTTGGCCATGCCTTGTTATCAGTGGAGAGGATAGTGCCTTTTTTTAGAGATGGTTTATCCCACCTTTCTTATGTTCTCTGCCTTGAGTTATGTATATAAATATCTAATCCTCCTTCCTCCTCCTCTTTTCCCCATAACCACAACCCTGTGAGGTGAGTTGGGCTGAGAGAGGGACTGGCCGAAAGTCACCCTGCTGGCTTTCATGCCTCAGACGGGACTAGAACTCACCATCTCCTGGTTTCTAGCCTGCTGCCTTCACCGCTAGACCAAACCGGCTCTTACTGCCTTAAGCCTTCCAAAGACCTAAGGCACCTAAGGGGCTCCTTAAATGGGGAAGTGACCTCTGAAAGGCTTAAGGCACCCATGCTAACCCCCATAAAACAGGCAGAACTTTTTGGCCCCTCCCACTTGGAAGAGAGAAGCCCTTGAAGTGATCACAAAGTGGTCCACAGGTGTGCAGTAAGTTCTGCCTTCTCCATTTATGTGGAATGACCTTCAGACTTGACCAACCTGTGTCAACTACCTGCTCTCTTTAATCCACCCTGGATGCCAAATGTCCTTGGGTCTGCAGAGTGTGACTCTCCTTGGCAGATTGATCAAAACAAAAGTGTTGTGTAACTGCTGTCTAAATGGTGGTTCCTGTCCTCTTCGTCTTTTTAAAGGGCATACCAGTTATGCTACGTACTCTGTGAAGAGATGCCTCCTTCTTTTGAGAGATGAACATCTTCTGATTGCAGATACACTGTTTTGTTTCATTGCAAAGCTGGCTGTTCTCCATATGGTTTTAATCGTAACACATAAAACCCAGCGTGAGCTAGAAGATTTAAGGTCTTCCTTGAAACTGGTCATTCAAGTGTTGCCAACAGCTCATTACTAACATTTTCTGAGTTTTCCTCTTTTTTTTCCCTCCTTATATCTTCACCTTGTTGTCACTTTGACACTGAAGAGTCTTGGCTGGTGAAATGTCAAGCTAGTTAAATGCAACTGTATTTTATGGATTTTTTAAAAAAATTGTGAGAGTTTGTATGTTGAATCATGACGATGTAGCATCTGCTAACTGCCCATGGTCAGGAGTATCACCTAAACCTCTTGCTTGAGAGCAAATTCCCTGGGCATTTGGTAAACTTGTTTCTACGTAAACACCAAGAAGACCCCAAAAGCCTCTCACTGGATATTCATTTCAGCTTTGCAGTAGTTGATATATGCAGTGCATTTGATGTTTAAAGTCAGCTTTGCTTCTGATTTAGAATCCAGATGATCATTGTTGGGAGTTTAACAGTATGTGGAGACTTAATTATTTCCCAGAGAAATGCCTAACTTGCACGCTGAATTGCCAACTCACTGGAAAGCCGTTGACAGGAAAATGTTGGAGTGTCTGTTTTTTATTCCAATTGCTCATAAAATGACCAAGAGTTGATTTTTAAGTGATCACTCATGGAAAAGAGGATGATTAATTCTTCTTTGCCATGATGTTATAGGGAAGGAATATCCAATGGCTTGGCTCTGGATAATACAATAATAATATTTACTGGGGAAGAACAGAAAAGAACCGTTGCTTATCGTGTGTGGTTGTGCACCTCCCAGAGGAAGGGACGTTGGGTGCTTGTTGGACTGGACTTTGGGGACCCTTCAGCAAAACTCTTACATAGACTTTTTCTCTTCCATTTCATTTAAAGCATTTTTTATCTAGAGTTTCAGGCAAAAAAGGCTTTCCTACAATCAGTGAAAGTCAGGAGTTGTGGAGTTTGTAATTCTTGTGAAGGAAGCAGTATGTCAGATTGATGTAGTAATCTCTCCGTTTCTAGTTCATTTAAGAACTGGTGCAAACTGGCTTTGGCTATGAAGTATATCCAATTTGGTTTGTTCATAAGAAGCCAGGATGGCCTTGTATTAAGTGAGGGAAAGGTGCCCTGTAACCAGCATAACACTCAGTGGGCAGCAGGTGTTAATTGTGTAGAGTGTGCACTAAGTCAGCGTTGTCCAAACTTGGCCACTTTAAGATGAGTGGACTTCAACTCGTGTAGAGTGTGCACTAAGTCAGCGTTGTCCAAACTTGGCCACTTTAAGATGAGTGGACTTCAACTCGTGTAGAGTGTGCACTAAGTCAGCGTTGTCCAAACTTGGCCACTTTAAGATGAGTGGACTTCAACTCCCAGAATTCCCCAGCCAGCCATGGGGAGTTGAAGTCCACTCATCTTAAAGTGGCCAAGTTTGGACGACACTGCACTAAGTGGTTCTTAGTCTACACCAGTGGCTGGCTGGGGAATTCTGGGAATTCCCAGAATTCTGGGAGTTGAAGTCCACCCAGCTTAAAGCTGCTGAGGTTGAGAAACACTGATCTACACTGTGTGCCTAACAAAGAAGGGAGAGTTTAGAGCTGTGGTGCACATTCAATATGAGGGAATCCAAGATTACAGCCACACTTAAGGTAGTGTTTGTTGGTGATATATTACCTATTGATCTGTGAGGAAGGACTCTATATCTTGTGATCAAGGTTGCTTCAGCCAGGCATATCCATCATGGAGTCTTGGATGAGTCCCGTTGCCTCATATTTTGGGGTAAGATCTTATAGGTTTATCATGCTAAGTCTGCTTGACCTGAAACCATGCTTCTTGCTTGCAACCACTATTTTAAGACATAATTACCATCGACACATGCAGACTCTGAAGGCCATAGTTTGTCCTTAGTCATCCCAGAACCAGCCATTTCCTCCTCTTAATGATAGGATTTAGGATGACTTCCAGATGGACGTTTAACCCTAAGTGACACAACCAAGATCATTAGCTGGTTTTTGTGGGACAACATCCTCTGGAGAATTCCCTCATACTGAATACCTGATATTTATTTCTTCCTTTTCTGCCCTGTGCTTCAGATTCATAGGTATTCCGGTTCATTTGGGTGATCTCAATTTTATTTTGGTCCCGTTGCATTGTTTGAGGAGGAAATAGTTATCTCTAGCTTTATAAGATGCCAGATGATTTAAAGAAGGTCCCTGGCTCATCCCCCACAGCTTCTAATGAAAGAGCTAAGAAGCGAGAACAGGAAAGAAAATTATTTGCCTGAGAATGTGTCATATCTTTGGCACGGCCCACGCTGTATCTAATGGTCTGCTGAATTATTGTATCACATGAACGCAGAGAGGTTGCCCATAAAATTATACAGATTTGGTAAACCCTGATAAACGAGATCTAGTATTTCATTCCTTCCCCAAATCTAAAGCCTCATTTAAAATCTTTCTGTAACTATATTCTGCTACTCTATTAATATAACTCTGCTGTTGACATTCATTTGAATTGCACATTTTAAACAGTAATTGCTGCTTAATTAGGGAACGAGGTGGGAAGATGGAACTGGTTCTGATTTAAACCGAAAGCCATCCAGCCGCCTTCTGTGCTTTTCGTGAAGGAAAAGATTGGGAGGTGAAGTGCTATGGATCCATTTGGTAACGACTGAATAACTGACGTGCATATTATCACATTTATACCTGCTGCCATTGTAGTTTATAAGAGCACACTGCTGACTCATATCTGGTTTGCATTTAACTACTGCTTTATTCCAAGATCTTTTGCACAACTGTTATTCTCAGACCGGGTGTCCTCCATCTTAGGTCCGTATATTTTATTTCTGTTTCCTAAATGAAGAACTTTGATTGGTCTCTGTGAAGTTTTGCTCTGTTCCATAGGAATAGGGACAGTTGTGCTCCATGGAGATTCAATTTTTGAAAAGAAATCTGTATTAACACAGCCCTTTGATATTTATGCAGCAAAACACAATAATCTCAACAATAATTGTTTTAGGTAGCAGTTCCCAGTCCAAAACCTAAAGCTTAACTGGCAGCCAAGCAAATCTCACTCAAGAAATGCACTGGGATTTCTTTAATTCTTAATTTAAAAAATTTAAAATAATCTCTTTGCTCAGTTTTCCAGCACTTTGTGTGGTAGATAGCATGAACTACTGTACAGTATTACATAACCTGCCCAGCAGATTCCAGCAACAGACTTTGGCATGCATTTCTGGGCAGACTGCAGTAAACATCCCCAAATCAGCAAAGCAACAGAAGTAAGATAAGTTTTGCATTTTTAAACACAATCTGAAGGTTCCTTAATCAGGGAGTCACTACATTGGCTTGTGGAAAATAGTTGTGCATGTTCACTCTGGGAGATCTTTGGTATCTCCTTGATAATCATGTTTTCAGAGGACTTTTGAAAATGAAGATGATTCCAGCCTTTTGCAGAACCAGGTCCAGAATCAGTGCCAGACTTAGCAGCCTATGTGAATAGTGCCACCAGCAAAACTTCTGGGTCTTTTCTTCACAAGAGAATTTGTCTTTAGAGCTCCTTTTTCAAGCGTTTCTTCACTTGACCATGGTTGACTCTGGTCTCTCTGCCATGTGGGCTTCCCAGAAGTGGGTTTCTTTCACTTTACTTTCAGAAATGGAAGAGGAGCTTCCCCCCTCCCCATGTTTTTCTGAGAATATCAGAGAGAATTCTAAAAGAACACCCCACCCAAGAGAGATGCATTCCCAAACGATGCCAGAAGATATGCTGGTTTATGACCGTAATAAAGATGTGATTTGATTTGATTTGATTTGATTTGATGCCAGAAGAAGTGTACCAGGGTGTGCATACCGCACAGACCAACCCCATTGTCCAGCCCAGACCAAGAACAGAGATAATGAGCAATATATTTAACTGATATATTTCTTCTTTTTGGAAGATGCTTACGTTGTATTTGGGAAAAAGTGGACATAACCTGTTTCTCCCATTTCTTTTTTAAAATCCCAGGTTCATGTACTGGACGGACTGGGGAGAAATGCCAAAGATAGAACGTGCTGGGATGGATGGTTTAAGCCGTTCGGTTATCATCAATGCAGACATTTATTGGCCAAATGGATTAACCCTGGATTACGAAGAACAGAAGCTCTACTGGGCAGATGCTAAACTGAACTTCATTCACAGATCAAATCTGGATGGAACACATAGGTATGAATTAAGATGGGCAGTTTAAAGGAAACGTGCATTTTTTACCTGAAACAAATGCAAGGGTATGAGCCAGTCATTGTCCGTGATTGTTTTGCTTCCATTTTATTTCATTAAATTTCAGATGTTTTGTTTTAGAATGATGCTTTGCTTTTACCTGCAGAAGGAAGATAGGACAGTGCATTTGCTAAGAATTTCCGAAGGAAACTTCTTAATTTGTTTGGTTCAGGGAAAATCAAATGAGAAAGAGATTATTCTCTCAGAATCTGTAATGGCAGGACTGTATCCTTATCTTTTCAGAAGGGTGGTTTTATCTTGCAAAATGTTTGTGTGCGTACATACAGGCCGAGAGACAGGGAGATGAAGTTTGAAGACAGCACCGTTGTATAGGCAGGGCTGGGAGGCACGTAGAGGAGCTGAGATGAACTGGCTTAGCTGTGACCCTCATCTTCCTTCCTGTGGGAGATTGAGAGATGTAAAATGCTGGGTTAGCTTTCCCAGTAAGCTTCTTCCTGCAAAATTATTGGAGGCTTTGAATGTCTACACCAGTGTTTCTCAACCTTAGCAACTTTAAGATGAATGGACTTCAACTCCTGGAATTCCTCAGCTAGCCATTTGTCTAAACAGCTGTAGTTTTCCTAACATTTTTGCTCTCCAACCACTTCAACCCATTTTTTAAAATTTCCCAGCTTCTGAGATCTGCCCAATTTTTTCCCCTACCCGATAGGATTTGTGGTTCATATCAGTAGGAGGTATGTGGAAGATCTTGTTTGATCTTCTCAAGTTTGGCCACCTTTGCTGGCAGGGCCATCCCCCACCTCTATCCTAAGCGAAGATGGAGTTGGAGTGCGATCCCCAGCACTTTTTTGACAGCCCTTTAAAATTTGTGAACTCCTACTAAGAAAGATGCAATGGCAATATGAGCTCAGAAGCAAAATTAGCACTGGTAAAGAGCAGGAGCTTAAAGGAGACACAAGAAACGGAGGCAGAGGAAGAGTGACAAGACAAGAAAAAGTAAATGTTGTAGCTGCATTTGAACAATCTACCCTCTTTATCTGAGGTTGGGGCTGCCTGTAAGTAATGAAACAGTAGGCAGGCAAAAGTTGGGATTTCGTGGCAAAATAGTGAGTTTTCCTCTAATGAAGAGTTTTGAAGCCTCTGGTGGTGAAGAAGATTGACTGCCAACTTTCTTGTTGCAACTGTATGGATTCTTTTGGGTGGAAATGCCGCATTTTCAACAGGAAAAGCTTTGCTTGATCCCTAACAAAGAGCTGTCAAAGGCTGGTCTTGCAAGCCCTCTGAGGTACTGAGAGGTGTCATTTTATATCCACTGGCTGGTCTGAATGTTATTATTGGGATATTCCTGCTTTGAGAACAGTTTTTAACAATGAAAAGCTGGTATTTCAAAAAAAAGAAAAAGAAACACTACGTTTAATATTTGCTTTTATGTTTTTTGTTTATTTTGCACACGGTGTGGAATTCTTTGAACTGGAGATAAATTATGATAGTGAATATTAAGCGCCGGATAATTATAGACGCCGCTCTTCAGAAATGTTTTAAATATTTATGAAGTCATTTGTTTAAAGGGCACTGAAATATAGACACGTTTACCACTGTGAAATGTCTTTGCATGGTACGATGTTCAGTCATCGGTAGCATTCATCTGTAGGAGAAGGGAATTAGAGATGTTTGGCTTAATAAGGGTCCCTGTAAATATTATCCCTTCCCTGACAGAGCCGTGACGTACAGCTGAGTAAGGGTTACCCATAACGTGGTCTTCTTCTAATTGGATCTGACCGCACGTAGAATACACAAGGGTGGTGTACGCAATTACAAATTGCAGACCGGGAAAGCTTTCTCTCATAATTATGAAGTCACCATCCTTGGCATATCTGTGGTTTTGTTCAGCTGGTTTGTGATAGCTGATACTTCGTTTTGAACTGTCAGCTGGAGTCACCCGAGCACACTTTCTGGGACTCACCGTGGTTATCTACGTTTGTTGATTTTTTTTAAAGTGAGCTCAGAAAAACCACCGGAGGCATGTGGCCTGGGTTTTCAGAATAATAATTTCAAAAAAACCTGTTTTCTTTGAGGTCACTCTAGGCAATAGCCCAGGGTGTTTCAGAAGTGGTGTTTTACTGGTTTGAGTGGCTAAACTCAGTGCCAAGAAAAGTGCTCTTTTCCTCCACAGCCAAATCTCACTTGTACGGTTTTCGGTCCTTTTCAGGACACAACTGTATTAAAAACATTTTACGGTCTTCTACATATTAAGAGAGAATTATTTATAAGCTTGTCTTGAACCCCTGTCTTCCTGAAGACTTTTGTGGCTCTGCTGTGGTGCATTTTTTGCAGCTGTATGAACCATTTTTGGCTGAGGTCTGAACCTCCCATTATTTATCTCAACTTTTTTTTTTTCATGTTGACCCTGCTGGCCAGTGATTTTTGTAGTAAAGGCAGACCCAAAAGAACAGGATGGTAAACAAATGTCCGGCTACTCAGTGTACCCAACTCGTTTCACTGAAGACCCTCATGATCAAAGATGAATAAAAAAAATATAGTGTGGGCACCATTGCTCTCAAGTTACTCATTTGAAACAGAATAAGAAAAAGTCTTTACTTGTAACCCATGTGAATTCTGCTGTTTATTATGCTTCATAGTAGTTATTGAATTGGGTGTAAAATGATAGCATATACAGGTAGTCCTTGCTTAATGACAGTTCGTTTAGTGACTTTTGGAAGTTACGATGGTGCTAAAAAGTGACTTACGATTGGCGCCCAAAGTTACGACTATCACAGCGTCCCTGTGATCACATGATCACAATTCAGACGCTTGGCAACCAGCTCAAGCTTATGATGGCTGCAGGGGCCCGGGGTCACATGATCGCCATCTGCAACCTTCCTAGCTGGCTTCCAGCAAGCAAAATCAATGGGGAACTGCATGATTCACTTAACGACTGCTACAGAAATGGTAAAATCTGGTCTGGTCACATGATGGTTTGCTTAACGACTACATTGCTTAGAGACCTAAATTCCAGTCCTAGTTGTGGTAGTTAAATGAGGATTACCTGTAATTTGGATGAAAAATATAGTTCCCAATCTCTCAGATGGGACTTGCAGTTGCAGAATTCTAGTTCCTCTGGTCTAATTTTCAGTCTATCTAATGAAGAAGCCAAGCTTCAAAATTTTATATAATAACTGGTTGCAGACCAGATTGTCTAGACCAAGAATTTTTGGGTTAGGATGTTGCAAGTATTATAGAAATGGTATTGTTCATTTGTCAGTTAATAATGATATAAAGATCCTGGCACTGGGCTGTAATTTGTATTGGACTTCTGACTGTGACAAAATGTGGCTGCCTCTTGTCTGATATCACAGTTCCTTTTCAATACTTGCATTGGGATTCTGGCTCTGAATGTCTGGGGTTCAACGTGGCAAGGTTTGCCTCTGCAGAATGCAGCTACTTCTGTTCCTACTCTAGAGAAATTGTGCGAAGTTGTGAAAAGGTGGTATTGCCAGAAGGCACCCAGTTACACACATCAGGGATGTCATGCATATTCTGCACCAAAATACTGGTGTTACGTCTGGGGTCATATTTGTCTTTCCTATACGGTGGTCAGTTCAGAAGCATGTTAATCCATTTCAGTCTATCATGGCAATAATTGAACATTGATTGCTGCTCTTATATTAAATACAGCTATATATTACGTATTGATGGATGGATGGATGGACTGAGCCTTCAGTCATTGTTGACTCTTAGCAGCCACATACACTTTCTTCATGGTGACCTGTTCCTGGTCCTTCAGCTCTTCCAATGGCGCACCCATCACCCATCCACCTTGCTGCTGGCTGTCGTCGTCTTCTCTTTCCTTCCCCCTTTCCCAGCATCAGAGCCTTCTCCAGAGAGCTGGATCTTCACATAATGTGTCTGAAGTAGGATAATTTGAACCTGATCATATGTGCCTTGAGTGAGAACTCTGGGCTGATTTGTTCAGTGATCTATCAATTTGTTTTCTTGGCTGTTTGTGGCATTCTCAGGAGTCTTCTTCAACACCAAAGTTCAGAGGCATCAATTCTCTTCCTATCCTGCTTCTTTAATGTCCAGCTTTTGCTTCCATAGAGGGTCACCATTACCTGCATGATTCTGATCTTTGTAGGTATAGACACATCACTGCATTTGAATATCTTCCCCAAGGCCTTCAAGGCTGCTTTATCAAATGCTAGTCTGCAGTGTATTTCTTGACTGCTTGTTCCTTGATTGTTGATGGTTGATCCTAAACGGCAGAAGTTCTCCACCACTTCAGTCTCTTCATTGCCAATTCTAAGGCTGGTTGTATTGCTGGAGTCTCACATTTTATTATCTTACCACAAAACAGTGAAACACTGAATGTCTCATATTGGTCTGAAAGAAACATTCTAATGCAAACAGAGCTTTGCTGGATTAATGGCTTTATCAAAAATACAGATTAGTTAAAATTAATGATGTAATTGCCAGGCTTGTAAAAGAACCAGGACTATTCATTCTATAAATTGATATTGTTACCCTTTCAATATAAAGAAGTTCTTGGGGGCTAATGAGAGAATGCTGAAAAACCTAAATTCTGTTAGGTTGTAGGAAAAGGAAGAATTCTGATTTTAGAATCTTATTTCATCTTCTTCTTTTTTCAGTTAAGCCCTTGATCAGGAGACAGATACTTGTTAAAGACTGGCTTATGCACTTCAGTAAGATACTCTGGAATTATTTCTTAGATCCCTGGCCAAACTCTCTTTCAGATATTGGACTTTTGCCTGGTTAATATATGAGATTAAGGGTTTTATTACAAGTCTTTCAGACAGTAAAACACCAAGACAGGAAATACTGTCTCCAGAAATAGTCCTTTTTCTCATTAGCGGGGCAAAACAATAGTTTAAACTTTCTCTGACTAATGGCAGGATCTGATTAAGACAGTGTGCCTCTCAAAATAGCGTGATCCGGATCCAGTCAATTAATGATTAGTAAGTCTTCTGGACGTCTCTTCCAAGTTGTCTGAGCAAGTGCTTGGAGGAAACACATTTCACTGTATTCCCAAAATAAGGTGGTGATAGGAAAAAAATAAAATGCAGCTCAACTCGAGCTGTCTTGCCAAGAAGGAGTTACTAATGCTAAGCCTTGTGCAACTTTTATGAATCTGGCAATGGCATTTGACTCAACAGATAGAAATAGGTTGTGGCAAAAGTTCTACCATCCTTGCTGCTCAGCCTGTTTTTTTCTCAGTGTCATTTGGGTATTGATTTTTGCCCCTTCACTTGGCTCTCATTATTTCTCTTGTCCTCACCAATGGTGCCTCCTACAGTTGGGACAAAGGAAAGGACCTCTCTGCCCTTTTAAGGAGATGTGGCTCCTAAACTGTCTCAGACACAAGATGGTTAAACTCTGAAGTTTCACCAAACTTGGAATTGTGTCCAGAAGAAAGAACCTGGTAACCAGCATAATCCCTGTGATATGATTCTGTCTGTGTGCAATCACAGCTTCCTACCTCTTGCATTCTGGATCAGTTGCAGTTTCCAAAGATTGTTTTTCAGAGTGGTTGCCTCATATACAGTGTGTTAATTTGGATGTAATTAAGTTATGCATCTGTGGCCAAGTCGGACCTCGTTAGGAACCGATAGAGTTGCTGCACTAGTTTAATCTGAGCCACCGCCTGAGCCTCCAGGTGCAAAACTAAATCCAAAAGTTACTCCAGCCTGTGAACCTGATTCTTCCAAGGTACCACTACCACCAAATCCAAGACCAGCTCTGTCTTGCCTGGACTAAGTCTCCATTTTTGAGCCTCGTCTAACCCATTGCTGACCAAACATCAATAGAAGAAAGAGAAATGGAGCTGTCTGTCATCTGCATGTTGTTGGCAGAATTGGTGACCTTTCTCAGCAGATGTCATATACATGTTAAATAACATGGGTGCAAGTTCTTGTCCTCACAATGGTGCCTCCTCCACTGTTGGGAAGTAGAAAAGGACCTCTGCATCAGATCCCTGAGGATCACTAGTGTACCAGAACGAAACACGAGATCCTTCTTTGTCATCCTTTGAGGAAGGATCAGAACCATTGCACAACACCATTTCCAACACTGGTTGGGGTTTTCATAGTTTTCTAAGTCATAGGCCACCAGGTAGTTTGAGTTCTTCCTGAAGCAACTACATACAGTTGAAAGAATGTCTCATAACCATTAGTCCTGTGGTAGAAACAGTCATTAAGTCCTTGAGCTGAACCATCCGTGGGAATGTTACAGAAATGAATCGTCATCTTCTTCCAGGATGTTGTTTTTGAGTTCCCAGTGTAGCTAACAAACCTGGAATCCTCAGATGGATCTTGTCAGCCCCTTTAGGTAGACCGGACCAGGAAGTCAACTCCACAGGAGGGCTAAAACCTACTTTTATTGAGATTGGCTATAATGACAGAATTTTGCAAGTCTGCGTTGCACCTCCTCCAGTGAATTAGGAAGGCACCTGCCTGGGCCACTTCTGAATGTTACCTTGTTTCTATGGACTTAAAAATGTTTCAGCTCCTTCAGGTAACAGTTCCTGCATATTTCTGGCAAGGTCTTCTCAGGTCTGGATCCAAGTTCTGACCAGGGACTCCATTGCATAGCTTACCTAATAACAGGGCCATCTAGGTGTTGCACACTGTAGAGGCAGTGTGATATAAACACTGATGCACAAATTGCAGAATTTTAGGGACAGCTTGAGGAGGAAAGGAAAGGAGACTTGAGAGGACCAAGATACAGAGGAAGAGAAGTCTTCTTTGTACCCGAAATATTATTTGCAAATTAATCCCAGATCTTCTGTTAGTTTTATAATGCCAGAATGTAGACATCCATGTTCTACATAAGTAGAACTGGGATTCTGCATGGGATAGAACTGGTTGGGCAGTTGTGAATGATTTTGCAAGATCCCCTCTGAAATGCTTGTTTGTACTTAATTGTTTCAGCAAAACGACACTTGCCTTTAATGGTTCTTTTCATTTCCTGGCTCTGTGAAAACTGTACAATGACTTAGACATTCAGGCTATTGAGTGCCTGGCATGTACACATGGATTTATTTAATTTAATTTATTCAACCACCCTACCCCAAGGCCTGGGAAAACAGCCAGGCCTTTAAGGCTTTCTAGAATGGCAGTAGGGCGGAGCCACATGGGAGTCTCGTTCCAGAGGAAGGCACCGTGACAGAGAAGATGTGCTTCTGGGCTCCCAGTAGATGACATTGTTTAATTGAAGACCTGGAGTAACCCAACCCTGTTGGATCGAACTGGCTTGGCTGATACCACAGGAGATAGATGATCCCTCAAGTAACCAGGCCCTATGCCATGTAGGACTTTATAGGTCATAACCAGTACCTTGAATTGCACCCAGGAGCATACTGGTAACCAGTGCAGCTCGCGAAGCAGAGCTTTTACATGGGCATACCAAGGCATGCCAATCGCTACCCATGCTCCTGCATTTTGCACCCGTTGAAGCTTCTGAGTAGTCTTAAAGGGAAGCCCCATGTAGAGCCCATTGCAGTAGTCAAGCCTTGAGGTGACATTGGGCCTGTAGGGCTCCTGATCTAGGAAAGGGCACAACCGGGGCACCAGGCGGAGTTGTGCCTTCCTGGCACAGCTGCCACCTGCTCATTGAGTCCAGCAGTACCCCCAGATTGGGCACCACTCCTGGATGGGGAAGTGCCACCCCATCCAAGGTTAAAGATGGAGCATCCCCAGATCCAGGGGGCCACCACATCCGTAGACACTCGGTCTTGTAGGACTGAGTCAGAGACCGTCCCTCCCCGCAGAATCCTGAACAATGCCCAGGCCCTGGGACAGAACCTACCTACCTACTTACTTGCTCCAGCGGTGCCATAATTCTACAGCAATGACATGCAGTAATCTAACTTCCCAGAAGAGAAATTGAGAAATGTCAGAATAGTGACTTAAAGAGAAGTCATGAACTCAGGACGCTGGGTATGGTTTGCTTCCGAGGCGGTAGGAAGGGTGGTGATTTATGTTACATATTAAGCCAGTATTTTTTTTCTCCCAAATTGTATGGAGGAAAATTGTTCCGAGTTTTTTTCTTTTTCTCAGAGTGAGCAAGTGCATTTTTTAAATAGTTATTTGACAATACCGAATTCCAGCAGGACTGAAATGCAGGACTTACGGTTGCCTGCTAAAGAGGAACGATCAGTTCATTTCTCCTCATTTTACCTTGCAGGAACAGCCCTAATTAATAGTTAACACATTCCTGGTGGAAATGAAATGAAATTCGTTTTATAGTCTCTGGGGGAATATTCTTGCTAATTCTTTTTTGGAAGCCTCTGTATGTTGGAGAATGGAATAATATTTCAGGAGCTGCTCACCATTTAGTGCCATACTGCTTCTGAATATTTGCACTCAAGTAGTTATGATTAGTACAAATAGTGTTTTGGGGGAGAAAAATTAAAAGCAACTTCTGTTCAGATATACAAGAATAATACTAGGGATTTATATGTTTTAAAATAACACATACGTTTTTAAAAGTCCAACAGAGCATAATGCTAAACATAACTTAAATAACCAACAGGTTTAAAAAATATTCTATATTCCTACCTCTTATAGGTGGTACTTAAGTTATGTTTAGCATTAGTCCATGTTCTTCTGGTAGTATTGAAACACAACTGGCTTATCAATAGAAAAAGGTAACAGCTTCTTAATGGTTAAAACGTGCCTGCAATGCACTCATTTTGGGCACATCATTTGTACCCGCTTAAATTCAGAACTCTTCAAGGTTTGTTTGCAAATAAGCATTCACGCAATTAGGCCGTTCCTAACGTGGAAGGAAGAAAGAGTTTGGGTTAAATCTTTGATATTTTACTGAAGCCTATTAAATGATCACCATCAGAATCTCATTTCTGAATGTTGATAATTGTTTTCCCTTTTAAAACGAGACCTGGCGTGATTTCTTTCCGGTAGTTGTGTATGGCTGTTCCAGTGGCCACCGTCTTTTCTGTACATGTCTTATGCAGCCATTCTGCTGGACCAAGGCTCGCTTTTGAGCAGATGCTAGAAGTCTGTTTTCGGTATCCATGCTGTGCAATCCTCCTGCGGTGTGCACAGGATGCTCGTGGGACTGGCTGGAATTAATTGATAGGGGCGGTGGAGGAGAATTTTTCCTGGTTAGGGTCTGCAGGATTGCAGGCCAGTAGACACCGTCTGTTACCGGCGAAGAATTACTGGGCCTACTCATACCCCATCCGTTTCCTCTCTATTACTGCGCAAATGACATGAAACAAAATTTTAAGGCTTAAATGCAAAATGTTCCATCAGACTCAAGAATCAACTCTTTGAATCCACCCAGGGGCTGATATTCTACTTGAAAATTAATGAGAAGGGAGGCATTCAGGCTTCTGAGCTATTTCAAGGGAGAAAAAGGCTTCTCCATTCATAGATACGGATTGCAAATTTCACAGTCCCGTCCTGATCCCAAGCGAGTGGGTGGGGGAGGTTTGACAAGGATCTAAAGAGCTGGTCTTTTCTGGATCCAGGGAGATGGCTTATGGTGCAATACACGTTTTACTTAATTCCAGGCAAGCTGTGATTAAAGGATCCCTCCCACATCCTTTTGCTCTGACGTTATTTGGTGACACGCTGTATTGGACGGATTGGACAACTCGCTCTATCTTGGCCTGCAACAAATACACTGGACAGAACCTGCGTGAAATACATTCCAACATCTTTTCTCCCATGGACATCCACGTCTTTAGTCAACAGCGGCAGCCCAGTGGTGAGTCTCTCTTGCTTTTCCCAGAATGCCCAAGTTGGAAGTTCTCATTCGTTCCGCAGGTTTTTCAGACCTTCACAGATTGTACAATCTAGGTACATAGCCACTGTGCTAATCTTTTTCGGATTAGGCAACATTAGAAGAGGATTAAGAAATGGTAAGCAAAAGAAATGAAAGACTTAGCAAGGAAAAAACAAGAGAAATATGCTAAATGTAGTTTATGCTAAGTGGGGTTGTTCACTCCATTTTCCTCATTTGTCAGACACAAAACCGAATACCTCGGTCTTTAATTTTTAAACCTGCTCCTCACTGAATCTGTCTAACGTTATCTGCAAATCGTTTGCAGCCAACAGTACAACATTTTCTGCGTACAAAAGTACCTGCATGTTCTCATCAGCAGATGGGCCCATAGATACTGACCTCTACCACCCATCGTGGCTTTGGCCAATCAGTCCTTGCACATAATGCTCTTCAGTAAGATAGTGTGCCACTTGCAGCCTTCCCTGTCATAACAGTTCCTTTGAGTTTGGGGCACGTTCTGGCCACGGTGCCATAAGCGTAGTCAAAGCCCACTTTTACTCTAAGCACGCTCATGTTTTTCTGTGCAAGCCACAACTCTTCACAATATGGCATCCCACCGTCTTTAGGGTCCTTGCATACCTTGAGGACGCAATTTGTAAAGGCATGAATTAGAAGTATGTTCTAAGAAACAGTACTTGTTTGCACACCTACCTTCATGATTAAGGGGCTTCCTTTGATGTATGCCATTTAAAATAACAACTGTTATTTTTATTGACACAAAATGGATGGTTTCTTAAGTGATGGTTTGTATTTCCCCTTCTTCGGGCTTACAAGCTCTGCTTCTGAGAGCCCTTGACGCTGGCGATGCCGAGCGTTCACAAAAAGCCAAACTCAGACGGCTACTTCAAAATCAGGTTCCCCTGTTCATTTGGAAGTTCCAGCTGAAACAGGATTTCTAACTATAGTAACCACAATAACATACCTTTTGAATTTGTGTTCACAGCCTGGAATGTTATTTCTTTAGCTAGACTAATCCTGTATACCATTCTGAATTCTTTTATAAGAGTGCCAAACTTCTGCGTAATACAGAATTCACCTTTCCTGCTAGTTAATACTAACAATAAATCAAAGCTTGTTTTAACTTACTATTTCAACGTACAAGGCTGCCCAACTCACAGTGATTCTGGGAAGCGTGCAGATTGAAAACCAACCCCAGTGGGCTGGCTGATTTAAGCGGTATGCCACAACTAGTTGTGTTGAATAGATCAGTTCAGGTCCTCTGATTAGGTTTCTGATATTGGTAGTAGCACTGCATTTTTCCTCCCCTGGGTGTGTGTAGGGATGTGCAAATAACCAGCCAACCAGGAAAAGGAAGGAAGGGAAGGAGCAAACATTAGGTAGTTTCACAAAGTGCTTTCCACATTCCAAAGAAAGCTTTCCTAATGCTGATAGGAAGAACGGCTCTAAATCCTCCCACTCACTCTACAATTTGTGTAGCGCCTTCAAGAGCACAGTGCAGCCTAGTGATTGCGGTTGGGATTTCCTAGGACTACAAGGGGAACGTCCCTGTGACAAGACTGAAATTCCTTTTCCAGATGAATGGCTTTAAGGCTTATAAATGGATGTGTGGAGTCATTAAACATCCATTTTGATCTTTAAATTACAGAGCAAATGCCCAAAATTGCACTGCCGTAAATCAGCCATTTTGCCGTCAGACTTTTGTGGGGGACGCAGATGGGGCTGTGGGTGCCTTTCCCTCTATTCTTGGATAAAGGTAACTCTAGAGGAAAATTAAAATCCAGACGTGCTGGATGTAGGTAAACGGATTTGTTCCCCCAGTCTCTGTTGAGCGAGAGCTTACTTAGTACACTCTTCACCCTTCCCGTGAAGTCTTGTGGCGAGGGAGTGCAGAAAGATGACTGAGATAAAATCGTCTTCAAAGTGATGCCTTGAAAGTCTTAAAAGTTGTGTGCTGAAGTTGACAGAGGAAAGGGGGAAGGGGTTTAGACAACATACAAAGGACGAGACCATGTAAGTTTCTCCCTGCTTATTGGTAGATTTGAAGTTTCCAGGCAGAACTTAAAGGCTTACCTCTGACCTGTCCACAAATGCACAGGCGAGTCTCTCTTTCCAAATCGCACTAGTGACTGTTGAGTCCTCCCTGCAGGAACATTTTCTGTTCTTTCCAAAGGCGTCTTTTCTCCAGAAGTAGAGATGGCGCTGATCCTGCCTCTACTTACAGGAAGCCAGAGGGAGCAGATTTTCCCATGGACTGGTAGGGGTTCTATGCGATATCTTCCTTCTGATCTGTTTCCCTTTACACACACACGCACAGTTCCGCTTTACATAAATATCCACCCATGTAGTTCAGATACTACATGCAATATGGGCTCCCCTGGACTGCTTTTGAGAGTGCTTGACACCCACATTCATTTTATCTTCCACGCTTTCAACTCTTGATTGATATGGCAGGTTCGCTACTAACGAGACTGTTCTGTGCTTTCTGTATTTGACAGCTGCAAACCCCTGCAGGAATAACAATGGTGGTTGTTCCCATCTGTGTTTGATGTCTCCCATCAAGCCCTTTTATCGGTGCGCGTGTCCCACAGGTGTGAAGCTCCTTGAGAATAAGAAGACTTGCAAAGATGGTAAGTTTCAGTTGGGCATAAGCACTGAGCAGGGGTGTCAAAAATGTCAAGATGGTGGTCGTAGCCATGTGATTGAATCCCCATCCTCTTTTACATGCGTCACAACACGCCTGACACTAAGTAATCCAACTGGAAGATTGAATGGGTGTGTGAATCATCGTGACAATTTTCCCTGACCAGGAATGGCTATAGCTGATGACTTGGCCAAAACTGGTAAAAAAAATCTCTGCTTATCTAAGCTACCTGGAATGCTTGATGAAGCAGAGGTTGGAAAAGGCATTTTCTCTGCGCAGCATCTCACCTATCGTTCAGTTGCCCACAGAGCACAACTTTGAAGAACAAAACTCTGATTTGTTCAACTTCTCCCCCTCATGCCACTTCCTGATCAAGTCAAATAATTTCATTTTCTGACTTGTTTAAAGCAAAAGAAGAGATGAAATTAAAGAAAGTAAGCCCAATTGTTGAATGAGTGCTGAATTTTAACATTTTCCTCAGAGGAAAAAATACACGTGTGCTATTCATTAATCATTACTTTGCTGTAACTAGACCAAAATCTTTCCCCCCCCCCCCAAATGGAGTAAAAATCAAGGAAGAAATATCTGTATAAGTGGTAGATTATGTGGAACAAATATTAATTTTCTGCAAGGGTTCTAACCTGCCATTTTTTAAAACATTAATTCAAACTGCACAGACTCTCTGATAGTCACCTTTTATTCTCTAACGTGTTAAAGTTCTATTCAGAATAGAGTTCTTCTGTTCAGAAGACGTTTGAAAGCCAGGAGATACCGTGTGGAATTTATAGCATTTATACTCCTCGGCCCCGATGGGGAATTGGTGCAGCAAAGGTGAATCTGGCTGACCTCACCGGAGTAGTTGCCATGGCAACTAATTTGGGGGGGGTCTCCTCAATTTATAGCAGAGAGAAGCCTTTTTGTAAGTCTCTGGTTTTTAATTCTCTCCTTGAAGGAGCAGTTGTCCTTCGCTTCCTGTTTCCAGCAATTCCAAAAATCTTCAGGGAGACGTTCTTAGCCGATTGCATAAAATTGACTCTGTGACAAGCGATTTTGTTGACTGATATTTTTATGACCGTCTGGCCATTTAAGTACAGTGGCTGCATGCTTTCAAAACAACACTTAAGCATGAGTAGGAACCAGAAACTCAGTTTGCTACTGCTTAGGGCTAAAATAACCATGGTGAGCGAGAGCCAGACAGACTTGCGAGAAGAGGATAAACGTGCTGCTGGTGCAGGATCTTACAGTGGCTCCCAGAGTTGTCCTAGAGATGCTTGTGGTGTGACATTGGTCATGCCGTTCATGCGTGGCTGTGGCTTGTATTTTGGTATGATACGATCTTGACTGAAGAATCAGCCAGTTTGGCTTTTGAAAGAACAGCCAAGCTGTTACGCATGTCCTTGGTATAATCTGTATACGATAAACTGTATATGATTTCCTCCATTGGTAGAGTACATAGAAGTAGTTCTGGAGACCCTCAGACACATGCGTTGGGTTGTCTTCTCCGTTCAGTCAGTTGACTGACTCTCCCTTACAGTGAAAAGTTCTGAAGCACTTGTACCTCCATGACAGAGAGCTACACAAAGTATCTTCACAGCACCATTTATTTTATCCTGTATGTCCTTGTTCCTCATCATGCGGCTTGTGTCAATCAGATCTAAGTTCATCAAGCACCAGAGAAATCTGCCTGAAGTTAACTTGCATTCCTCAAAGATGAACATTTTATTCGTTAGTTCTGCCCCATCCTGAGGTCAAACTAAACTCGGCTGGATGCATATAATACACTGACCTCTGCTAAGAAAACAGAACGGATGGGGACGTATAACAAGCAGTGATGGGACTGTCTTGGTCACCTAACATACTAAGTTGTGGCTGAGTTCCTTCTGCTGTTCAGAAGCGGGTAAGGGCTCTTCTAGAGTCATGACGTGCGTCCTTCCTGGTGCCTCGTTGGAGAAGCTGTGCTTGCTTTCCTCGTCTCGCCCAGTAGTTATACATTCCCAGGAAATCATGCGTTGCAGGGTGCATCGTACCCTGTCGCCACCTTAACCCCGCGTTTGTCTCTATTTAGTTTCTCCCACAGCTTCTAAAATGGAAGGTTTGTCTCTGCAGCCCTCGCATGCTGGTGGGGACAGATGAGAGGCTCTTTGGAGCAGATGAAAGGCAACAATAGATAACAGAGTCCTGTTGTGCAAGCCCAACCCCGGGCTATGTAGATTTTCTACTACGTGTTCTGTTTTGTTCTTGCATTTTGTGGCGACGAAGGTGAAAACAATGTTTAGTTCCTAAAAAGAGGACTGCAGAGGCTTGCCTTCTTCATGTGGGGATAGGCCGTTATCTAAGTTAGGGATGGGCAACATTTTCAGAGGAAAGCTGATGCGATTGGAAGGCCAGGGGCCACGTGCGTGATTCCCATTCCCCTGTTGCTGTTCGCACAGATTTCTTGCTGGTCTCGATCAGGGTCACTGCACAGGGGAGGAGAGCAACGAACGGACTCTGGCAACGTCGCTGGGAGGGAGCAGAGGGATCCCCCCCCCCCCCCCGTGACTCTGCTGGCAGATTTCCCGCCATGGAAAATCAGTCGTTCTGAGCAGGATCGCAGGATGGGAGAAGGAAATAGGCTTGCTGCTTCCTTCCTCCTAGGAATGTGGCTTAAGATCGCTGCCCCCCAGTGCCTTAGCAATGAGACCCCAGGCGTCTGCTCCTACAAGCCAGTTGATCAGCTTGGTAAATGGTTCAGCTGGGTAGCCTGCCAGACGTCTTTTCCGTTCACCAGCTGATCAAAGCGATTGGTTCCTTGGTGGGGAGCAGAATGCTGTTTTCATGCTGCTAATGGTGGTGGGAGTCCAGCGGTCTTGAGATGGCCGCAGGGGGGAAACGATGCGCTTTCCCTCACCGGACCCACCTTGCGAAGTTCATGCTGAAGTGGCTTCTTTCCTGCTTTCATTAGCATTTCCCCACCGTTCAGCAGGACTGGATTCATTGACTGATCGTGGGCTCACTGTGAGATCTAAATATCATGACATTCCTGCCTATCCTCAACAAAGAGTAAGGGGCCGACCTCAGAACTGATCAATGTTTTCATTTTAATTTTGGGGTTTCATCTGCGCAGGAGCCATGGAGTTGCTACTGCTGGCCCGAAGGACTGATTTGCGACGGATCTCCTTGGACACTCCGGATTTCACTGACATTGTGCTGCAGCTGGAAGACATCCGGCATGCCATTGCTATTGACTATGACCCTGTTGAGGGGTATATTTATTGGACAGATGATGAAGTGAGAGCCATCAGGCGTTCCTTCCTCGATGGCTCAGCTAGCCAGTTTGTCGTACAGGCACAGATTGCACACCCCGATGGCATTGCTGTAGATTGGGTTGCCCGAAACCTTTACTGGACAGATACGGGGACAGACCGCATTGAAGTCACAAGGCTTAATGGGACCATGAGGAAGATCTTGATCTCCGAAGACCTGGAAGAGCCTAGAGCTATAGTCTTGGATCCTATGATTGGGTGAGGCACATAGTTTTATTATAAAGGTTTTAAAAATTAAGAATTACAGTATTTGCTGTTGTTCAGTCGTTAAGTCGTGTCCGACTCTTATATTTGGAGTCAAATCTGATGTCCATTTCAAGAGCTTTCCCTGATTCCGAAATATGAATCTCAATGATTGACTCCCTGACCATAAATAATTTCTTGTTGTTATTCTCAGTTTTAGTGTACTTAAATTAGAATACCTTGGAACCAATGTGCCTTTAAGGGTTTCCCATCTTTTCTAGAACGGCCCATAATTCCAAAAGAGCATGTCCTGTTCATCTGCCCACTTCCTCCAAGTGAGATTTGAGCTTAGTGTAATCCTGAGTCAGAACACTGAGGTTGACCATTGAGGTCCTTTGATCTCTTTTATGCATGTTTCCTGATTTGATTTGCAAGCTAAAATTGTAATGAGAAACTTAGGTAGATGTCAAACTGAAGATTAGCCTAGGATATAGAGAAAAAGCCACCTTCAGAAGCAGCTGTTGTGAGATATTGTGAACCTGTTTTAATACTGACTTTTCCCCTTCTTTAAAGGGTTAGGGTTAGAGTTAGAAGTGAGGCAGTTTTTAAACTGCTTTCCTTTTGCGTTACTCTTGTTTAAGTCCATGGATTATAGGGTGAAAAACATTTTAGCTCTGTCACAGATCTGCAACCTGAATGCATCATGCTTCATCTCTTTGAAACATCAGCTTTTATGATTTTTTTAAAATCACTCTTACACATTTAAGAAAGGGGAGGAGAGAATGATGGTCCTTGGGGAAACTTTTCCAGCACATAGATAGGGATGACCTAACATTGGGCATGTTCCATGTTCATGAAATATTATTGATGAGAATTCTACAGCAGATTGTCGTGGGCGTTCAACCAGACAATGTTGAAGATACGTTTAAGTAAAAATAACCTCAGCTAGAGAAAGTACAGGCCATGTGCCAAATTTAGCATGGTTTAGTCTCCCCTCCCTCATCCCGTCAATACAGACTTTGTGGAGCCCATGTTTTATTCCATCTTTACCCTTTTCCTTTTAGCTACATGTACTGGACCGACTGGGGAGAGATTCCAAAGATTGAGAGGGCAGCCTTAGATGGTTCTGACCGAGTTGTCTTGGTCAATACCTCACTCGGTTGGCCGAATGGATTGGCGCTGGATTACATTGAAAACATGATATATTGGGGAGATGCCAAAACAGACAAAATTGAGGTTTGTTATTTCCATTTCTCTTCCTTAACCCCAAAATCCAAAGCACTTCCCTAAGACGTGCTATTTGTGTCAATAGCTCAGTTCATGTTCTCGATGAGAAATCGGTTGTAGGATCTGTGTGAGCAAAACAGATTTTAGAATCAGAATCAGTAGTTGTTGGATTTAGCTATTAATATTATCTGATGATGTTCTCCAAGGCTTTTAATCATGATCTGACTTGCCTGTTACTGTCTGTTGAATCAATGTGAAAGACGGGGAGTCAGAATGGTTTCTGAACGGTACTGAGGAAATTGCTGTATAATGCCACCGATGTTGGAAGCACCTAGTTTTCAGCTGCTGGCACGGCTGTGCGGTCTTTTAATAGCTTGGATTTCCAGTTCTCAGCTTAGCAGCTTCGTGCTCCTTACTCTTCGCTGTTCTGATCTTCCAAAACCAGCAGCCAAACCCCGCATTGACTTGCTGATCTTTTCAGCAGACATGGGCGAGCTTCCTTGAAATCATTTTTACATACATACATACATACCTACTTACATACATACATACATACATACATACATACATACATACATACATACATATATAGCATTCTTCAGAAGGCTGAAAAAGATCTCTCAGGAACATTCATCCTACCACCTTATCAATGGATGGTGCCATTAATTCCTGTAGGGCGAAGGAAGGATGGCAGCCTTCAGATCTTGGGTGGATCTTGAGAGTCCCTGAAGAATGGTCCTAAATCAGCTTCCAGAGACTTCTTCAAAATCATTCCCATCTTTCAGTAATTTGGAAAGTAGCTTACTAGAGATCATACCAGTGTTTCTCAACCTTGGCCACTTGAAGACGGGTGGACTTCAACTCCCAGAATTCCCCAGCCAGC